CCGCTCCCCCCATCTATGGACCAGGAAACATGGTAACTCAAAAGAAAAGGTAAACATATTAACAATACAAAATTAATCAAACGTGCATGCTCATTGATCAATTGTGTATGTCTAATACAAATTACCCACCCAAGTCCATGGCTGGTGGTGGTTTAGGTCCTCGCATGGTGAAGGCCAGGACTGAGGCCTTCACACAGGCCATGCTGTCAAATCTTCAGAGCCCCATATTAAGCAACACCATTTTCCAGACCTAACCTACACTTAACGCAAAGCATCCCCAAACCCAGTCCTCACACAGGCAAAGAGCAGAATTGTGGTTTGACACACAGCATCTGCATTGTATTTGCTCAGGTGGCTGGCCCACCTGGCCTGTACTGGCAGTCACCTGAGAGCCAGGTCCCCTCAGTTGTCCAACCACTGACACTGTTGTATCAGGATTGTTTAACAAAAGAAGACTATTAACAATTCCAGTGAACCTGTAACTATATTATCACAAACACCAATACAAATTCTGTGTGGGTATAGCAGTGAAAGCAGGTCTACAGGGTCATCAGGTGGGCACCCTCTCACTAACCTGTGTTTTGTTGAGGATAAGGACAATCACCTTTATTTGGCCAAGTATGTTACACACACACGCACACACAAGGAATTTGTTTTCAGTACAGAACCAAGGCAGCCATCTTCAGCGCCAACTCACACCGATGGCTCTAACCATCGGTGGCAACTTGGGGGTTCAGATCAGAGTTGGGCCCATGACACCGAGAAGGCTCAACAGTGTGTTTCACCATCCCAGAACCACCCCCTTTTTACCTGGACCCTCACATTCAACACAAATCTTTATCTACCGGCTAACTGTTACCAGTCACTAGAACTAGCAAACATTTCAACTGCTGTTCTAACCACCAAACATTTTAAAGTAACTTGCCAACATTTCAAATAGCTCACCAGATAACTAGCCAGACTTCTGATTCCTTTTTATACTGCATCAGAAACCACCCTGTGTTAGTATTCATTCCAACAAACGTCTACTATGCCCTCATGTTAGCTTGCTCATGCTAACACCAGGAAGTAGGCCCCAAGCCTGCTGCTTGTATCAAACAAACCTGTCCTCCTATGCTAGTTTACTTCAGCTTAACAGACATAATCCTCACATGTGTTGCTGTTTATAAAAACCACTTACCTATTTGTACCCCATTCACACACCTTTCTTCTGCCCCAGAGCCACTCACTGGACCTTGCTGCACTACCAGCTAGATTTCTAGTTACCTGTCTTAGGCTCTGCCCTTTTATACCTAACTCACCTAGCAGAGAAACAGCCGACTCGGCTACAAATCCCCTGCAACCAACCTCCATGGTGTAGACTTTAACCTTCCAGCCACATTCCTCAGCTTCCATGGCTAACTCTGTGCACTCTGTGTTTTAGGCTTGAGCATGTGAGAGTGTGAGCAAGTGCGCGCTTGCAGTGATTAACTGTGGGCATGTAACTTGCTTTGGTGATGGTGTATCATAAATTGGACAGTTTACGTATATGCTTTGCAGTTTATACTTTAAAGAACCAAGATATAAATATAATGCAGGTTTTTTTCAGCCTCGAAATGACAGGACTTGAAAACAAAATCTAACTGTTCCAAATAGACATCCATCCATCCAGTCCAATCCCAGCTGACACTGGGCGAGAGGCGGGGTACACCCTGGACAAGTCGCCAGCCTATAACAGGGCCGATGCTTAGAGCAGGACCCAAACAGACGTATAACAGTTAAATAGGTTGACAAACAGTAGTCTTTGCAATAATTCCAAATATGCTACTGCTAAAACATGGTTTCCGCAAAGCAGCAGTTAAACTGATTATGTGGCTGTCCAAACTGTAATGGATTATAGATGTGCTTACAGCATTTAACCTCAGATTTCCAGTTAAAGCTTCTTTGTCCTCCTGTGTCTGTAGAACTCAGTTGGATCGGGCTTCCCTCTGCCACCTCCTCTATACCCTGGGCTGAGTCAGATTCGACC